AGCCAGAGCCAGTAAGTAGACCCCAAAATACCATACAAGTTATTTGATTATGTGATATGTTAGAACAACATGCTAGTACTAGGCTAGGGAATTTCAGGAATTGCATGATAGAATTGCCTGATTATGTGATGCCTACTAGCCTAGGGTTTTCCTTATATGAGATATTCAGCTTTCCTCTAGGAGTGAGGATTGAGCGCTCGTCGTGTGTGTGTATATGGTTAGAGTGTTGTGGTGATACTTGAGACAAATATGGGTAGGTGTGGAAGGTAGTATGGGCCCGTACTACTGAAAGCACATGACCCATACGCGTATCAAGGAAGTCACAACTCTCTAGGGTATCAGTTATGAGATAGTTCCCCGGGCGAGTATGTGATGTGTCTAAGGGTCTTGTTGGTGTATTGCAGTATGGCGATTACGAGACGTTTCGGGGCAGGATCCAGTTCGGGATCGGGATCATGAGAGGGTGGTCAAGATGGACCAGTACCACCCGAGGTCATTGGTCAGATGAGTACGGATGAGTTGGATGCCAGGATTTGCGAGATCCTGCATGATGAGGTTGCTGCCATGTTCAGGGCTGAGTTGCCAGAGATGTTTGGGTCGATCAAGACCTCCATGGTTGAGTACTTTGATGAGCGCTATGCAGCTCTTACGGAGACGGCTGCCGCGGCAGCTACAGCGGCTGTAGCAGCGGCAGGGGGAGGAACCGGTCGAGGTTTTCAGTATCGGGACTTCGATAATACGAATCCCCTACCTTTGATGGAGTTCAGGATCCTATCATTGCTATGAGATGGTTGTCAGACGTGGAAGGATGTTTCTTCACGTGTTCATGCCCTGCGGATCAGAGGGTGAGGTGTGCTCTGAACCTTTTGAGGCTCGGGGCGAAGGATTGGTGGAGGTTGACTACAGGATCTTATTCTGATGCGCAGCGGGCTGCAGTTACTTGGGATCAGTTCCGGGAGATGTTCAGTACTCGTTATGTTCCGCGGGTAGAGAGAGAGGTTGGCTCAGGAGTTCTTGGAGCTGAAACAGGATTCAGAGTCGGTTACGGAGATCACCAGGATGTTCACTGAGAGGGTGATGTTTTGCCCGGAGTTCGCGTCGGAGCAGGCTCAGATGTCCCGGTATCTGAGTATGCTCAAGAGGGATATTAGACAGTTTGTGTCCACGCAGAGATGTGATACCTTGTTAGAGTTGCAGGAGGCCGCCAGGCGGCGTGAGTTGGAGATTGAGTTGCATTTACGAGAGCAGAGGCAGGCCCCGGTGCAGTCGCAGCCGGCGCCAAAACGGTTTAAAACCGTTGACTCCAGGATTGGGGGTCAGAGCAACCACACTTGCGAGAAGTGTGGGAAGGGTCATACCGGAGTTTGTAGGTCCGGTGGTACGTGCCGCAAGTACGGGAGAGAGGGTCATTATGCGACGGATTGCCGTCAGTCAGCCCCGGTACAGGATATGAGGATTTGTTATCACTGCCATCAGGTTGGACACTTGAGGGCCAACTGTCCACAGTTTGCTGCAGGATCGGTGCAGGCTCCAGCACCGGCCACTTTGAGGATTACTGGCGGGGGTCAGAGTGGAGTGGTGCCTCCGAGGGCTCAAGGACGCGCATTCCAGCTTACAGCAGAGGAGGTCAGAGCAGAGCCAGATGCAGCTGCGGGTATGTTTCCATCTTGTTATCTTATTATTTGTGTGGTATTGCAAACCTGTCTGCCTTTTTCCGCATGATTCGTAGTATGTTTAAGGATCTTAGTAGTTAGGAGTTGTAGTTCGTTAGCATCCAAGAGGATAGATGATCGGAAGGTAGGATATATGATATCTTTGCTGGGTATGGCACATGCGATGTGAGAAGTGTTAAGCTGAGATTCAACTTCCTTGGGGTTCGGGTGTGCGATGGCGGAAGGGTTATTCGGTGGAGGTTACTCACTCCCGAGGGAGTCAGTTCATGGATAAGAGGGAATATATGGAGTAAGGGTGATTGAGCTATGCTGGTTTTGGGCATCGGTGGTTAGTAGTCGGTGCACTAAGTGGGGGAGAATTGGAAAATTCTCCGGTGGAACAACATGCATCCAAGGATGGTTAGCTGTTTGGATTTCAACAGTGTTTTGCTGAGGGTGTGGATCAGTGAGAGCAAGTGGTAGACAAGTGGGGCGGAGAACAGACCATGGTTTTCGGAAAAAGGTGACCGATTGTTGTAAGGCCTAGGGTTAGGCCGGAAATTGAGTGTATGGAATGGAGCTGGAGTTCGGAACCCCAAGAGGGCTAGAACAGTATACATGGGAGAGATTCCTAGGAAGAATGGTTTAGGATGGTGTACCACAGTTTGAGCGGTCCGGATAGACTGAAGGCCGGTGGGCGTACCAGTCAGGCCGAAGGCTCGAAGAACGGTCCAGACAGGCTGAAGGCCCAGGAGGGCGGTCCAGACATGTTGAAGGTTCTGAGAGTTGTCCAGATAGGCTGAAGGCATGGTAAGGCGGTCCAGTCATGCTGAAGACTCTGTATGTGTTAGTAGACCTGTATGCAAAGATTGATTGGGTACGTTGCTATGCAATAGCAAGTGATAGGGCCTGGCCCCAAGTATTGATCATGATGATGGAGTTAGCTAAAGGCCGTGTATGGCTTCGTTAGCTGTGTGATCGGATTTGGAGTATATGGGAGTTAGGGAGTAGCAGTTTCTCTGCATGGGTGATGTAAAGTGGAGTTTTAGCACCATGGCGATTGTTGATGGAATAAAGGTCGTTGAGTAGTCCTTTTTATAGCAATGGGAAGAGATCAGGTGATAGTTAGCTTGGGCGGCCTGTCAGGGAGACAGATCCAATCTAACTTTCCAAGTAAAGGGCATCCCGGAGAGGTATGTATTTGATACTGCATGAAAATGAGTATGTATCTCTTCGAGTTGGAGTTCCAGTGGGGTCAGCCTCCCTTGGTGGTCTTCACGCTTTGGGGGCGTGAATGTGCCTTTCGAGATTTTGAGTAGCCAGAATTGACAATTAACGATTTCGAGGGCGAAATCATATTTAAGTGGGGGAGAATTGTAACGCCCCGTTCTAAAAGTATTTATTTATGAATTTTCGAGATCAAGAGTAAGGGCGTTTCGGTCTTTTGTGGGCAATGGGTTTCATTCGAGAAGGTTTCGGACCGGGGTTTTCTATAAGAACTTTTTAAAGGGGTTTTCTATAAATAGCCCCCTCCCCCCCATTTTTCGAATTTATAACGTCCGATTTATAAAATGTTGTTCGAAATTTATAATAATAATAACAGTAATAATATTAATATTAAAATATAAAAAAATATTTAAAAACCGATTTTATATAGCCGTTCGAATTTATAATGTCTTCTGAATGTTAAAATTTTGTGCGAAATTTATAATAATAATAATAATAATAATAATAATAATAGTAATAATAGTAATAATAATAATAATAATATTAAAATATTAATAATAATAATAATAATAATATAAATTAAAAAAAGAATATAATATACCAAAAAAACAAAATAGGAAAAAAAAAAACAAAAAAAAACAACAAAAGACAAAAAAGAAGAAAAAAATAATGTCAAATCAAATGTCAAAAAGTTGATATGATTGACTTTAGGGGGGTAAATATGGTTAAGGAGTAGGGATGAAAGTGGGTCCAAACCCGGACCGAATGGACCCGGACCCGGAAAACCCGGAACCGGTTAACGAGATTTTTTAGAACCGAAAACCGGACCGGTATATAGGAACCGGTTCTGGTTCGGTTCCGGGTACGGTATCGGGTAAAGTGGGTCTAGAACCGTAAAACCCGGAAATATCAAAGTGGGTAGGTTGGAACCGGATAAAGTGGGTTTAGAACCGAAAAACCCGAAAAAAACGGATTTTTTTGGTAATTACTTACTACTTAGTGGGTTGAACTTTGAAAATTTTCATATTGATATCACTACTTTGGGGGACTGTAACTCATTGAATATGAAACCAAAATTAACAAAATTATAGTCTAAAATCATGTACAAACTCTAAAATACGCTTTGGAAAAAAATGCATGTCAATCCGACTTTAAACGAATGAGATATGCATGTGTTAACATTTTCACAGAATACAAAGTACAAAAACAAATAGCTTAAAAGTTGAAAACTTTCAGTTTTGATATCCTGACTTCGTAGGACTGCAAATCATTGAATATTAAACCAAAAATGACAAAATTATAGTCTGAACTCATGTACAAACTGTAAACTATAAGTTGGAAAAAATCACATGTCAATTCGACTTCAAACGAATTAGATATGCATGTTTTAAACTTTCACCGAATACAAAAAAAACTAAAAAACTAAAAACTTCCAGCTTTGATATCTCGACTTTGGGGGACTGTAAGTCAATGAATATAAAACTAAAAATGGCAAATTTATAGTGTAAAATCATGTACAAACTCTAAACTACATGTTGGAAAAAATCGAATGTCAATCGGAGTTGAAACGAATGAGATATGCATCTTTTAAACGTTTCACAAAAACTGGTTCCGGCCCTAAAAGTGGTTCCGGTTCCTAACACCGGTTCCGGTTTTTAGACCCGGTTTACCCGGACCCGATGGACCCAAACCCGGATTACCCGGAACCCGGATAAAACCAATTTTTAAGCCCGGAACCGGAACCGGTTCTACATATTCCGGTTCTAACGGTTCCGGTTCCGATCCGGTTTTCCGGTTTTAAATCTCATCCCTATTAACGAGGGTACTTATAGCACAACCTCTTTTTAAATTGCAAAACATTTTTTTTGACTTTTAGCTTTTTAAAAAAAGTCAAAAGTCCTAAAAGTTATTCAAAAGATATCCCAAACACCATCTAACACAATTAATTAGTAAGGACTTAAAACATAATTTATAAAAGTAAAAGGTTTAATTGGAAATGTTTAGGTTAATGAAGGGGGTTAAATGAAAATTACAGAATCACATCCTGTCTAAACGTTTCATAGTTCAAACTTCAAACTCTTCTCTCCCTCTCTCTTTCCCAAACACACACAGTAGTGAACAATGGAATGCTCAATTTTGAAGCTTGTAATCGAGAAGGGACCAAGAGAAGGTGAAAGCCTAGAGTATTCATCTGGATCCATCGTCAAAATTGGTCGAATAGTGCGTGGCAATACCATCGGAATCAAAGACGCCGGCATCTCCACCAAACACATTTCCATCGAATTCGATAATGAATCGAGCAAATGGGAAGTCACTGATCTCGATTCTTCCAATGGTACAATTTTGAACGGGCAAATGCTTTTGCCTAACGTTCCTTCCACTCTCGAAGACGGCGACTGTATCAAGATCGGTGAGCTGACGTCGATTATTGTGAAGATTGGAGGAGTTCAATCGACTATTCGACCTCAAAGGAACCCTAGGAGGAAAGGAAAATCTGGAGTTGCTGCTGATGTTGAGAGGGAGCGGAGTGGAGGAAAATTAGGGCTCGATGGTGATTTGGGGGAAAATGCGGTGGAGGAACCAGTACCAAAGCGGAACCTCCGCCCTAGAGGTAAGAAAACCGTGGATTCGAAGACTGAGGTGGAAAACTTGAATGCTAAGAGGACATTGAGAAGCTCCAAGAATGAAGATAAGGCTAGTTCCATTTCTACACAAAATCAAATCTCTGAAGATACGAGTACAGATGTAAGAAAAGCAGCAGATCAAGTCGTCCCTGTAGAACAACGTAAGACACGAGGGAGGAAAAAGCAGTTGCCGGTGCAACATACCACCGATGATCCTGATTTAGATAAAGGGAAACCTGCAGAAACTGTTCTTCCAGTAAATGTCAAAAAGACACGAAGAGGAAGAAAGGGGTTGTTAACTGAACCTGATCCATTGGAAGATTTACAAACTAGTGAATCTGTTCGAGCTCATATGGCAGAGGAGCCAACATCAACACAAGAAGATCATGAGAAAAATGTAGTAAAAAACAGTGGTTTGGAGGAGAATTTGGACGCCAACCATGAGCCTTCTCAAGATCATGTTGCAGAGAAATTGGTGTCAACCCAAGAAAGTTGTGAACAACGGGAACCCTTGGTAGATCAAAGTTTATTGAAGGAGACTAGTGTTGATACTAGTAGGTGGCAAGATTTGGAGAAGATGACATTAGGCGACTTTTTTGATTACTTGGAGTGGTACTTGCCTAAAGAAATAATTGAGAAGACAGAAGAAATCATTTCACAATTGCCAGAAAAAAACAGGAAATACCATGAGGCTAGGCTTCAAAGAAATGAAAAGGATAAAGGAAAGCAAGCTATGGACTAAAAATGGAAATTACGAAGAGAATCAAAGCTATTCAGGTAACTAATAATCTAACTTCCACCTATTAGATTTCTCAGTCTTTGAGCTATGTTCTTATTGTATCTTTTAGCTCTGTTTCTTTTAGCCTTTAGTCTCTTGTATTAGGCTTAAGAAAAAGTAGTCTTGATTGTGCTATATGTTGATATAAGCAAGTTAGAATTTTTGGTCATTGTTATGGCTTTTCATTGTGTGAAATCCAATGTTTTTGCTTTCTATTAGTTAAAAGTGAAAATGCGAAGTTTATTTACTTTGCTTATTTTGAAAGTAACCCATGATGCTTTTTCAATTCAGAAAATGAAAATGAAGTGTGTTCTTTGGAATATTGTAAGGGCTTAATGCCAAAAATTAGCAATTTATGTTTAGAAAATATAACAGTACATATGGCCATATTGTATGTTTATTTATATAATTAAATTAAAACTAAATTTTTCTGTAATTTAAAATTTAAATTCATAAATAAACTTTATTTTTTTTAACAACATAAACATATAGAATGTATTTTCAAACAAACAATGAAATATGCTTACATGTAATTTATTTAGCAGTTTACTTTTATGAAATAATTTTTTTTCTTTATTTATCAACGTACAATACCTTAATAAGAAAAAAACAATTGAAAATAATGATGTTGTAATAGAAAGAAACAAAAGTAGGATGCTATATCACATAAATATATCAAAGTGCATTGATATTTTTTGCATTAAACCAATAAATAATAATAGTAATTCTGAATCCAAAACTAGAAAGAGAAAGAGAAACCAGTGGACAAAAAAATGGACTAATTTCTTATAGGGCTAAATGTGAGAAATACTGACATAGAAATGTACTTTATTAATTTGTATATTATAACTTTATTGATAAGTATCGTTGTATCGCTCTAAAATTTATAGAAGTCACATTTTGGCCATGAAAGATGTATTTTCACGCATAAAGTTCAACTTGGTTGTACTTTTTCCAAAATACTTATTTTGAGATATTTTAATGGGCAAATAAAAAAAAATAAAAAATAAAAAAGAGAGCAGACTTGAAAGCCCGAGTGAATAATATGATAATACTTCAAAATAAGTATTCATGATCAGCCCGAGTATGACACCTAGGCATTCGTGTTGATAAACCATATGAAATACTCGAACTAACTAAACATGGGATGAAATAAAATTCATTTTGCGATAATCGCTTTTGCCCATGACTAAACCTGTAACTTTCCCTCTATTTCATGGTGACCATTTTTTATTTTTATTTTTTTGTTGTTTTTGTCGATTTCAATGGAATAAACATTCTAACTTTTTCCAAATACCAAGCACGAATCGTAACCGTTTCAATTTTAGTAGGTCGTATGCCTATGCCATAATACAATTTTACCGCCTTTCCCCATATTTGGCCGATGTATCATCTGTGTTCATATGAAAAGAAACAAAATACAAAAAAAATTGAAAACGTTATGGTTAAGATATTTAAAATAAATAAATGAAAGGTGGGACAAAACCCGATCAATTTGATGATTTTGACCCCGTTTGAAAGAGATTAAAAATATCGTATATTAACTGGTGTATGTTTAGTGGTTCTCTATTATTCTTTCGAACATACCTAACAAAGCACTTACGAACTGATAATGTGTAGTTGAATGTTAGACTATAACCTAGTGAACAAATGAGAGAAGTTGTAACATTTTAAAAACCATGATAAAAATTTTCATTTTTATAAAACATTTTTCCATAAAACCATAAAACAACAACCATTGTTTTCAAAACGAAATCATAGAATAAGCGTATCAACGATCTCTCACAGCATAAACCAACATGAGGATGTGTACGATCATGTATTTGTTTTGTCCTGATCATCTGATCTGATGTACTTGAAACCATGAAACCAACAATTGTAAGCCATAGCTTAGTGAGTTTCCCAAATATACCATACACACGATGATGGAGTTTGAGCATAACATCATTCATATGGTGTACATGCAACCCTAATGACTTGATCTAGGTTTTCTAATTTGAACATACAACATTGAATACCAAAGCAATAAACCCTAATCTAGCATGCTTATTTTGAAATAGACATAATAAACAAGTTAGAATGATTACCTCAACTTGTTATGTAGTAATAACAAGAACTCCTTGACCTTTGAAAGCTTAGTGCCTCAAATGTTGCATCTCTAATGGAGTCACAAACACCACTAGCAACAAGGAAGAACAAGAGAGAGAAGAGAGGCTCAAAATCGGCTATGGAATCCTTCTAGGGTTTCTAGTGGCCGATTTTGACATGCCCAAGGGTTCCTTATATAGCTGAGTAATTAGGGTTTTAGTCAAAACCCTAATCCAGTTGCTTAGTCCTTAAGCAACCCAAAGGTTCCTTCTAGAAGGCCCCTTGGACGATTTCTATATGGACTCCCATATAGAATTCGTCCATTGCTTCCTTATGGATCCTAAGCCCAACTTTGTAACTATCATATAATTACAATATCAGTCCCCTTGATTTGATTAATCTCTTTTGATCACAAAATTAATTCTAAATTAATTCTTGATCAATATTAATTAAACCATATGATTTCTCTTTTAATATATTATTCACATAATATATTAATAAACCATAATTAATCCTCTCTCTCCATAATTCATCCTATCAGTTGTTAAGGTGAAGGCAACCCAAAAAGACCATGCGCATAATCGGGTCAAGTACATACCAAAATAGTTATGGGCTTAGACACCTAATCCAACTGTCTCCCACTTGGATAAGTCTAATAACTATTTTGCAAGTACGACTTCAGAACCTGATTAGCAATCGTAGCTTTCAAAAGCCGTTGTCGAACTCTGATCTTATCAGCAACGCGCCCTTTAGATAAGAGATCATATATTCCTCCATTCTAGATATCGTATAGACTGAGACATGGATTATAATCATTCTCTCTGTCTATGTGTTGTTTCCCGATTTCTGATTTATGACGACTGATAGCAGACTACAATTGAACACATCAACTTAGTCCAGGCTTGGCCAAACGCTTTAGGGTGTCATCACTAAATCATCGAGGGGCCCACATATATCGCTTTTATCCTCTTAGGGTAAAAGGAACGGATAAACTTCGACTCAAATGCTTGCTTGTACTTACTCATCAAATCACACACAACAATATGTTTTATAGCACCAAGTTACTGGTGCGTTTACATATTATCAATGTGCAACCGACTTGTAAATTACAACTCACATGTCTCGGTTTAAAGAATATAAGATATTATCGTCTCACTAATCACCAGTGATAAAATCCATGAAGTGATTCAAGTGAGTGTGGGTTTAATCTAATACTCAAATCTTATTTCAGGAGCACTCATGAACACTGCAACAGACTTTTGCTATGTCTAAACGCTTTAGACAATCTACAGTCGGATTCATGACAGTCTAGCTTCAATACCTACTTCCAAAGTATTTATCGACTATGGATGGTTTGAATAATCTTATTATTCGGGAAGTCAAAACATGCAAAGTGAAACACAAGAATAATACTAACCCTATATGGCCCCAAAACTTTTGAGTATAAATAAAACACCTTTATTTAATCACCATATTGATTACTCATTATTCATTGTATAATGTTTCGGATAATCAACTTATTACTTGAATTATAACAACAGTTGTCCCATGCTCCAAGCACGCACACTATGTTTACCTATGGTCCTTACTTTGTGAAATAGATCAATTGAACACATTTCCAATGATACTCATTTCACAACTCCTAATCCTTATCATTAGTGTAAGAATACTAAATTCTTTCTACTATTAGAATATGCTAGATTCTAATACTTTATGTAATGATCATTTTATAATGTCATAACTTTAAAGTCACCAAGACTTTGCCAATGAAATCACAAAGTGCTCTATTGGAGATTGTTACAAGACAATTCCATAGATATGAAGTCTCACATTCAAAGTACATTCCTTTGAACATCCTTCTTGCATAAAAGTTTCTAATCTAGACATAAATTCTTAACGTCCAACTCCCAATATGGAAACAATTCCATATTTGCCATATGACAACTCATTCTTAATAGAATCATATCTATAATAATAATGTCGATATTATCCATTCATTCCTATACTTCCAACTGCTCACAAGCTACCAATCCTCAATAAACCTTAGACCGTCCTTGACAGTTGTTTAATTATTTTAGTCATAGCCGGTTCTAGTCATTTTTCCCTCTTAATGACCTAGGCATTTGAAAAATTTAGAACGGTCGAATATTACATCATATGCAATCGATCCTATACCCGAAGTGTATGAGACACGATTCATAATGAAAAACGTAATACTTTACCAGTTTCATGCTATAATATTGCCATATATAAAACTCTCTTATGTTGAATCTTTTCAACATACCATTTATATATGTCCTATGACTAATTTGATTAAAATTTCAGAATTTCTTGATCTAAGCTTTTAGATTCGAAATAAAGTATAATATTCTCTCCCTTAATTATAGCAAAACAACTTTTCAAACTTTGCAACTTTGCGAATTGAAACTTTTGTTTTCTATAATTAATATTGCTAACTTGCAACACTTAACATAATAATCTGATAGGTTTTATACAAACAATCCTATGTGTGCATGCAACCCTAGATACGGATCTATGTTTTCACTATTAGTCATACAACATTATGAACACAAAAGGAAACCTAGCATACTCCTAGTAATTTCGAAAATCATAAAGCAGAATGGAATACATACCTCTTGTTGTTATGTTGTAATAACAACTTGTTTCTTGAATCTTCTTGTCTTTGAAAGCAAGTACCACAAGTTAGTATCTCTAATGGCTCACAAACACCAAGAGCAAGAGAATGACTTATGAGAGGAAGGAGGAACACCAAAAACCATCCTAGGGTTCTTCCAAAAGAGTTAGCCACGTTTTTTGGGGCCATAAGGGTCTTTATATAGTGAGACTATTAGGGTTATCAAACAAGGAAACCCTAA